GGTGCTGAGGGATGCCCACCAACCCCCACTGTGAAAGTCATAACAGCTAAGTGTAAAATGGCAAGCACACACAGTGTCTACGTGACAGGAAAGCTGGATGGCCAAGGTGCAACTTTGTCATAGATTCTGCATCTCAGCAAACACTTGTGAGTATCAAGGTGCTGGATCACAAAGGAGTACCAGAAGCTATACAGAAGCTCTGTGGTGTGACAGGAAATTATGCAAGGTTGTGGGGACCAGTGTGGGTAACTATTGAGCTCATGCGCATGAAGAACAGACAGAAAGTATACTTGGCTGACATTGAAGACTAATGCATATTAGGATTGGACTATTTACTATCGAGGAAGTGTGTAGTTAACTTCGATAAAATGACGTTTGGGAACAACAAAGGCCAAATGCCAGTAAGTGTTAAAAAAGAGGTTCAGCTAACCAGGTGTCATGAAGCTGAATTCAAAGTGACTGAAGGAGTTGATGACGGTGAAGTGGAACCAAGTATAGATATTAAAGCAGAGCAGGAGAAAGACAAAGATTTCAAATCAATAATTGATTTTCTAAAAGCAAGTGTTTTGTGCCCTGCTTGGGAGAAGGTGTCTAGCTTAAGCCCTGTGACAAAGAACTATTGGGCACAATGGGACCAGTTGAAACTTGAAGATAGTATTCTTCTCCGGAGATGGGAAAGTGACGACCTGGCAAATGGTTATACCGAGAAAGTTATGGGAAGTTGTGCTGCGTCAATCCCATGATAGTTTAACAGGAGGACATCTCAGAGTTAAGAATACATTGAGTCATCTACGACACAGATTTTACTGGATAGGTATAAGGCAAGATATGAAAGAATGGTGATGGAACTGCGGTACGTGTTGTGCTAAAAGAAACCCAAACATAAGGGGCGTGCTCCAATGAAGTTATATCAAGTTGGGACACCAATGGAAAGGGTAGCTGTTGACATTGTTGGTCCTTTGCCCCAAACTCGTGCTGGAAACAGGTACATTTATGTGGTGATGGATTATTTCACAAGTGGTCTGAGGCATATGCAATACCAAATCAAGAAGCTACAACTGTAGCTTCGGCTATTAGGGATTTCTTCTTCTGGTTTGGTATGCCATACGAACTGCATTCGGATCAAGGCTGTAACTTTGAATCAGCTGTGTTCCATGAATGCTGTAAGTTGTTTGGCATACGAAAGACCAGAACAACGCCACTTCACCCACAGTCCGATGGGATGGTAGAAAAGTACAACTGGACACTAAGACAGGAATTGGCAAAGTTTTGTAATAGCTGCCAAGATGACTGTGCTGTCTTACTCCCTCCACTGTTGATGGCCTATAGAACAGCATAGCATGAAGCCACTGGATACACTCACAGCAAAGTTAATGTTTGGTCGGGAACTTCAGTTGCCAGTGGATCTGTTAACAGGATGTCCACCTCATGAAGAGTTGCCTGAAAATGTGTTAGAGTTTGTGAAAGTGTAATCGGAAAGGAAGGATGATATTCACCATCAAGTGCATTCAAACTTGAAAACGTCTGCTGATTCTATGATGTTATGTTATGATAAGAAATCTACT